TTATTATTGACCATGTTGTATACATGTTGTATAAATATTAGATACAACATGATACCAGTAAAAGTCACGCGATTTTTTTCTCCAGAAAAAGTGGGGTGTAAATCAATGAATCTTCGATGATATGATGGCCAGATGATGTGAATCAAATGATGAAATTTAGACCACATGGTCAATCATATCTGGTTGGTGGTATACCTACCCCTCTGAAAAATATGCTCGTCAGTTGGGATGATGATTCTTCCCAACTGAATGGAAAGTCATAAAAGCCATGTTCCAAACCACCAACCAGATTCTGTATGTTAGTTTACCAGGGGTTATATTCTGGTAATCCATTAATCACCATTAACCATTATTAACCAATACTAACCATCAACCAGATAATTATTTTTCTGGCTTTAAAAATTAGCTATATATGATCAATAATAGTAACCCAACATAAAATTAACCATTATTAACCAACATGTTCATACATTTGAATGGGGCAAATCACATCATTTGCCCCATGAAAATTGCTGTTACCCAGCTGAGAATTTCCATGAAGAATCGGATCTTTGGCCTGCCTTGATGGCCGCAGTGTACGTGATCTCCTGTCGCATTTTGTTTTTCGCGCCAAGGAGACTTTTTTGGGCGCAGTTCCTCTGAAAATCGCTGAGGATTTCTAGAAAATGAGCTGAGATCCACCGCGAAATTGAGCTCAAAATGATCAAAATGAGCTGAGAAAATGAGCTGAAAATGCCATGGCTCAAAATTTCTTCAGAAATAGCTATGGCTCAAGTTTTGATCCGCCCAAAGTGGATGACCCCCAGGTCACCATACATATGTGCCATGGCCATCAAGTTATATGGGCTTCATAGGTGACATCGGTGACATGAAATTGGCAACTCATCCCATGACGGTGTAACGAATTTGAGCGTGGCACATATGGCTTGATGTGGTTGACTTTTTATAAACCATCCAGTTTTTATCAATCGCAAGTCACTAAAGAGTCATTCAAAATACATCCAAACATCCAACAACATCCATAGAAATCCATAGAATTCCGAGCCCCCAGCTGTGGCTAAAAAATGGATAGCGCTGGCCCGTGCCAAATCATCCAAGGCTCCGAGGCTTGCAGACCTTGCAGACCTTGATCTCGCAGCTGCTGAAGGAGGTCCAAGGCCTTGGTTTTTTGCCATGGCGCCATGGCCATTGGATGGTGAAAAAACTGAGGAAATCTGATGAAAAACAAGGCCATGGTCATCGACTCATCGACCTTCTGAGATCAATCATTCTTGAAATCATGGGAAAAAATGATTGATGATGATTGATGATTAAGTAAGATATCGTTGATATGATGATGATATCATTGATATCATTGATATCATTGATATCTTATCATAATGTGGCATATTCCAAATATTCCAAATATTTCAAATATTCCAAATATTCCAAAGTCTGAAGCCACAAAATACTTTCCAGAATCATCATGTTTTCGTCGCGCCTTCGTTGCTGTAAGCTTCCCCCAAGCACATGCTCCCATGACCTCGGCCGTCGTTACGGGAGTCTCCAAAGAATCCTGGGGAAAATCACACAGATATCGTGATGACGAAAATGATGTTAGTGAATGACACGAAAATGAACCATTGAAAATGACATAAAATGACGAAAATAATGAGTGAAAATAGAGAGTTTCTCTCTCCAAATAAGGTGAATGTTCTTTGCAAAAATCATTTGGTCAAATGAGTGAACAAATATCTTGGATCAATCAATCCTGGGATGCCATTGGGGGTATCCTAAAGGGATTCCCAAGTCGCAATCCCAAAAAAATGGGTTTGTCTGAAAATAGGGTATATTCCCAATTATAGCCATTTAATAGGGATAATGATCATTAACCATTGGGTTTAGGGGTTTAGCCTATTTTCAGACACACCCAAATGATGCCATGCAACTTGCGGGGATCCCCCGGTCCCAACCAACAAAAAATCTTCGAATGCCAATTTTATGGAGGGGTTCCGATCCAAAAATGTCGTCATGAGGTGGACCCGGCCTGGTAAACGTTTACATAGCTATGGAAAATCACCATCTTCCATAGGTAAATCAACTATTTCTATGGTCCATTTTCCATAGCAAACTGTTAGTCATTACCAGAGGGTATATCATATTAAATCCCATTAAACCACCATACAATCCCATTTTTAATAGACATTTAATGGGGTGTACCCCCAAATAGCTGGTGTTTCTTATGGGAAGAATCCCTCCAAAATCCTCCAGTCGTGGCACCGAATTGTAGGACGGCGTGGAGGGCGCCACACGGCACCAGCTGATCTCCTCGAAGAGCTGCAACCTGGCGGATAGGACCGCTTTAATCAAATCGCCATGGTGGTTGAATGGGATTTTATGGTGGTTTTATGGGATTTTAATGGGATTTTATGGGATTTTATGGGATTTTATGGGGGTTTTATGAGATTTTATGGTGGTTTAATGGGATTTTATGGTGGTTTTATGGGATTTTAATGGGATTTAATGGGATTTTATGGGATTTTATGGGATTTTATGGGGGTTTTATGAGATTTTATGGTGGTTTAATGGGATTTTATGGTGGTTTAATGGGATTTAATATGATATACCCTCTGGTAATGACTAACAGATTGCTATGGAAAATGGACCATAGAAATAGATGTTTGACCTATGAACAATGGTGATGTTCAATAGCTATATGTAAACGTTTACCAGAGGGTAACTGTTGCTAACTCCCAGAAGATCCAGGTGGAATATGTCATGATATGTCATGTGGTGCTTGATTAGCTAACTACAGTGATTATGTCATACCCCGAATTTCATATGTAAACTCCAACTGGATGGTGCATATAGATTGCCAAAACCATAACAACTCATCCACCAGTTGGAAAATTCTCTGGTGATGGGGTCGCACATTTTGTGACCATGGCTTTGCACCAAGAGACGCCAAGCGCCAATGGCGTGAACGTTCATAGCCCAAAATCGCAGAGTTGAAGACGACCACATCCTGACAGCCGGTCTCATCATTGCATTCCGTGCAGTTTCATTCATCTTACTGGTGCTTAGTAGGGAATTTTCGGGAATGATCCATAATCACTAGCAATAATCATCATGTGAACCTCGAGATCATCATCACAAGCCCTGAGATGGTGTAGTAGGGAATGGATGGGTTGCTGGGGGTTGCTGGGATGATTATTACTAGTGATTCTGGATCATTCCCGAAAATTCCCTACTAAGCACCAGTAAGTCATTGGTTTCTCTGGTTTTCCTCACTTTTCCTCCTTGTCTTTACATGGCTCATCGTACTCTGCCAAGACAACCCAAAATCTTTATGTAGCTGATTGGTATATCTGCCATCTACAGCAAAAAAAAAGTCCACACCATTCATATATAATGTCAACCCTGGATGAATAAACCCCTAGGCTGTGTTAATTGGGGGAGTACCATTTATGTATCATGGTTTATGAATCCGGGGTTGACATTAAGCATTAAGAATGCCATCTGGTTATTTAACAGTTCGCCATGGCAAATCCATCCATTTTTAATAGCTAGGTAAACCATCTATTTCTATGGGCCATGGCTTAACCATGGCGAACTGTTAGTCATAAGCAGATGGTACATCATATTAAATCCCATTAAACCACCATTTTATATAGATCCCATCAAAAATCCCCAACAAAAACATCCCCATATAGTGCCTGGCACTACCCAGAAAAACGGTCTCTTCGACTGTGGCACAACGACCCCACAACGACCCCAACGCCGCAGACGCCGTCGAAGCGTCAGGTCGTGAGCCACGACTTTTGCTCTCGTCCAACAACCACTGCGCCTTCGCCCAGAGCTCTGCTTTGGCGACAGCTGCGATGGTCCTACGAAACGATGTGAAGAATATAACCCATGACGGATCCATGGTGCTGGTATATATGCTAACATTGGGGGTATATTGATGGTAAATGTTACCATATATATAGCATACATGGATCCTGTGAGTAATAAGCAGGATGTAATGTTCGTCAACTACTTAGAATGATAGAAAAGTGACTCACATTGGTTTTAGTCGGACATGACTTTCTCCATTTCTTGGGGGGCTTGCTCTACACCAAATCTATCCAAATCTTCTGAAAGAAGAATATTACAACATTACATTCTAATACCCCGAAAGTAATGTCAAGATTGTCAAGTTCCCAAATGGTGACTGTTTCTCTGGCGTCAGTTTCTTTCAGCCCGGGGTTCCCGAGGTTCCTGGGGTCACGTCTCCGTCACGTCTCCTGCTGTAGGCCACGCGGCGCGGGATGTGTCCCGTCTCCTGGACACTTCGCAGCTCCCAGAGTTCACTGCGCCATTTCGGCGCCGCGGCCATCGACGGACGGCCATCTCTCGTGAAAGACGTGGATGTTTCAATGTGTCAATGGGAGATCTGAAGAGGATCCAACAGATGGAGGTACATGTTAGTACCATATAAGACCTATAAGACCATATTTTCTGGGGATATTCCTGAAATGGCCATTGGTCATATGTTTCAATGTCGATGTTTAACGACACATTTTGACACCAGATGTTCACCTCAAGGCTTGATGCAACGGGTGAAGTACTGCAACTGATATCTTTGGACGAGAAATCCACAGACACCTAAACAGAGTACGGCTGCACAACACACCTGTTTCCTCCAAGGTACTCTGGCGTTCTTTTTTTGCTATTCACCGTGGATTGCTTGATGGTCGGTTGTTGTGTGCTGGTCTGCTGGCTATCCAAACTGTGTCAGGCCTGAACATATCAATTATTGCGAGACGAAGTCTGCAGTTTTTCCACGTGCAGAAGGACGTGTTGAATCAAAAGTGCCAGCACAGGCATGAACGCTGCAAAACAAGAGTTTTTAGGGCCATTGAAACCTCCATTTATAGGAGATTTCCCACCACGTTTGCCGTTGCAAAGGGAAATCGAAAGTGCAATGGATTGGATCCCGCTGAGACGAGACCTTTTTCCACCATAATTCATGAGGCGAGCTACTGGTAACCGTGGTAACCTGAGAACTTCACAAAGCGGTAACCAGACAACTTCTACATCTGCGGATGTCAAGAGGTACATTCCATTCCGGTGAAAAATACCTCGTCCCATTTTTCAATTGTGGGAACATTTGGATCAATATATTCCCAGCACACTTTTGGTAATCTTCCTTTTGGTAATCCAGCAGGTCTGGGTTCTTCCCCCCCCTTGCAACAAATCTCTCTGCAGAGTCAAGAAACCGCCTTTCCCACCTTTTCCACCACCTTTTCCGCCGCCTTTTCTCCTCTTGCCTTTCCCTCCACCTTTGCCTGCAGATCAAAGTCGATAATGAGTGACTATCTTGTCTCATTCTAGGACCAGTGATTCAAACGAGACCAGCCTTCAGCCGCAGCCCTAGGCGCCTGCAGGCCGTCAAAACATATATGATTCATATGATGTGTCCATGTGTATTGGGGGGATTGAACAATGTTAAACATCTAGAGTTAAACATCTATAGTTAAGTTCTATAGTTAATACCTATAGTTAATATCCGTCTATAGTTAAACATCTATAGTTTTCACATCTATTTCATATGGATGTCATATGGATCAAAAGCAAAAAAGAGATCCAAAGATCCACGGACATTTTTGCGACATCTCCACCTCGGCGAAGCCAAGCTCTGCCAGCACCTCCTTGTGAAGCCCCCATTGTGGGGGTTCATGGATTTCCGAAAAAAAAAAAACGCTGTCACTTTTCCTAAAGCAATTCTGGTTGGTAAACTCTGAGCTGCAAATGGCTAGACCCCAAAAGCCGAGTTCACCAGGTGAAACGAAGGAAGCCTTGGCCGCTTGGCGAAATTTTCCCCAAATTTAAGCCATCAAAAGCCATCTCGTCTCGGCCGTCTCCGTCCTGGACTTGTTGCACTGCAGGACTGTTCTGGAAGAGTTCTTGGATATTGAAACTTCCTGGCGACGTGGCTATCGCACTACGGTACATCCTTCAAAATGGGACGATGACACCACGGAGGCCTCATCCAAGTTATGGTTGCTTCAGAAGGGACGTTTCCCAATGGTTAGACAACCCCAAATCGATTTTTAAAAATCACCAAGACATCAACGACCTAATGACCCCCATGATGACCCAATTACTGGATTTACAAGGGTAAATCCCCCATAGTCCCGTGAATCCAGTTGTGGAGAAACCCAACACTGCAATCACTCCTCCGCCACACCTTCGGGTGCTTCTGTGACGACCACGTGGTCCTTGAGGTCTAAAAGTTCCTGCCATGTCTGCTGCTATGGCTTGTAGCCTCATGTAAACAATATTTTTACATACCAAAAGATGTGGAGTTTACCCAGAAAACCATAGAAAACCCATCATTTCTAGGTCATTTTCCTAGGTAAACCATAGCCTTTCTCCGCATCGCCATGGCAATCCCCAACCTCCAAGGAGACACCTAAGGTTCGACGAGCAGCCTGCACCACTTCGGACTGGATCGATGATCGGAAAATCGATCGTTCGGCCGTTATCAAACATGGCTTGGAAAAAAAACACAGCTTGTAATGGGAAAATATGGGAAAATCATCTAGAAATGGACACCACGAAATCCAAAACAAACCAGAAACCGTAATACGCAGAACCTCGGACGAGACGAGACGTTCGAACGAACGAATCCTGTGGCAGTTTTCAATGCCCGTACCTCCTGCCAAAGGGCCAGACTTTGGCCGGCAGCGCGTCCTGTGTCGCATGTTGTGCCAGTAGGATATATGTTGGATCCCAATATATGGCTCTATATATCTTAGATGATCAAGGAAAATGATGTTCTCAACTTCCATGTTTTGTCGCTGTGGCTCAAATTCATGGCAATATGTTCAACATGCCATTATATATATATACATACATACATATACATACATATATATATATACACATATACATATATATATATACATACATACGTACATATATATATACATATATATATATATACATATATATATATATATACATATATATATATACGAAACCAACATGGAATACGTACCATTAAGACATATATAAGTTTAGTTCTATATTTCTATAATTTAGTTCATATATAATTAGTACACATATATACATATATATATATTTAACTAATACACCTAATTTTAGTTCTATATAGTTCTATGATATTCCAACATGTTCATACATTTTCTGGTTCACCATAAATCACAGGTTCACCATATCTCAATGGATTGGTTTAAGGGAAAATCTGAACCGGAAACCATAGATTTTCTCATGAAATATGGGGTTTTCCTGTAATTTTTCCCTTAAACCAATTCATTGACAGCGGGACCGCGCCGGACGTCCTTGAGACGCTCCACCAGCTCGACCGTTCCTCAACTTCGCCGAAACATGGCCATGGCCAGGACGGGTGTGAAGCAGAAAAATACGAGAGATATGGTGTGATATCATATATCTGTATCTCTATATATGTCTCTATAATATATATATATATAATTATATGTATACTATGATATAGAAATATGACAATGAAGCCAATGGAACACGTGTATATCCATGTATATACCAAATGAAAAATACTATCATATAATATAATCATCTATAATCCTTGAACACATTAAAGTCATTTGGGATTATGTTTTCAGATAGAAAATTAAAAATGTGTCGAAGCACCAAGCAATATCTTTGCTGGTCAAGGTTCAGGCTGTAGGCCATCGCAAGCATTAACGGCACCCGATCGATTTGACGGGCAAAGCCAAAGAATTTGTTTTTGAAGGTGCGGAGACTTTGCCTTGGGCAAATGGTTGTGGGTGAATTTGCCCTGGTACACATTTGGTCCCCTAAAATAGCTGCTTAATGGATGGCTATTCCCCCCAAATGGGGTAATAATAGGTTTTGACCTATCCCCAAATGCGAAATGAAGAGTGATCCGAATCCCTCCGTATTCTGGTATTCTGGTTGAGCACCAGATGAATTTGCCAAATCTGAAATCCATTTTTTGCTCAACTATTTTTTTTGATGGTTTATTCCTCCTGGTGACCTATTGTTGATGTTTATATAATTTCATATATATATATAACATGACTTTGTTGGCTAAAAAAAATGTTTGACCTTTTCGATGGTAAATTCAGATCAAAATTCCCCATAGCAAAGGTCCCAATGTTTTCCTTGGTTTTGACCTTCAGTGTGGCAGCAAGATTCCACCAAGATTCGCATCAGTTTCATCAGTTTCATCCATTCAATCCAGAGCAAAAAATCGCCTATTTCAATTTGATGTCCTTTTGGTAAAAATAGGTTGGGGCCGGGAGCTGGTTAATCCCATCTATCATGTTTTTGAAACCTGTTCTTAAAATTAGGGGTAAACTCATCCCTGTATTAATCAAGCAACCAGTGGGAAAAGGACCCTCTATCCTGTCCCAAAAAAAACTGTGCCTCGTGGGCATCCCCTTAATGGATGAGTTCGAACTCATGATTTTTGCGCCATAAATAGTTGGTGCCAAAAAAACTCCCCGCCAGAACCAAGAAAAACCAGGAACCATCAATGATATTTCTGGGGTGTTCCCTGGTCAAATCATCCCATATGCTGATGAAATCTGCAAAATCATCAAATTTCTACAGAATATGCTATGGGATGCTGATGATTTGCCCGCCCTCTAACTGCCCAATCTAGATCAATCTATCGATGGCAATTTCTTATCAACCAAACCATTGATCCATTGATTGGTATATATAGATGATATAGATGGCAATCTTATCATAGATATAGATAGATCATGATTGATCAATCTATCAACCATCAATGATATGGGTGTGTCTGAAAATAGTGTACCCCTAAACCCAATGGTTAATGATCATTATCATCATTATCCCTATTAAATGGCTATTTTTTGGGGGAATATACCCTATTTTCAGACAAACCTGCTGCCGAGTGGCTCCACCACCCGTGACTTATGCGCTTCGCCGCGCGCCACACGAGCGCAGGCGTTTTCAATGGAGGCGCGCACCGTGGGAAGCACCAGCCTTAGCGAAAAGTCGCGCAACGGAGCACGGCGATGAGGTGTGGTACAGGGTGATAAAACCATTAAAACCATTGGAATATGTTGCAGGGAAGGTATAGTTTTGTCAAAGATATACCCCATTTGATGGCACCAAAAATCATGACCGAAAATCTAAACCATGATCTTCCAGGTTTTTTCCTAGTTTCAAACAGAAAATTCACAGCTATCCTTAAATAGAAAATTCACAGCTTTCCAAAGATCTGGGTATTTTTTTAATATTTCACTAACCTGAATTAAGGCCCATTGGGGATGATTTCCCTTATTAACTATGAATAACTATGATTCCAGGGTTCGGGAGAACAGTGAGGTCGTGATCAAATTTACCCAGATGAATGGATTAACATGGATTAACCACCATCTTGGTTGGATTATTGATGGTTAAACTATGTTAAACTCCATTTTCCATAGGAAACTGTTCATGCTTTCAAGTTTGTCGCCCATGTTGTCACAGTTGTCACTTCCAAATGGATCAAATGGCACAATTTACCCAGAAAGATGTCCAAGTCTTCCAAGGGGCTCGGGATCAATCAGCATATACGCATGGCAGAGAGCCAAGCCCAACTCCGAAGGTTTCATCCGTCGAGTCTGGTCGTCCAACTGGACGTACTTCCTGAAGCATCCGAGTTTGGGACGTGTCCATGTCATAGATATAGAAATATGATGAAATATGAATATACATATTTGCATACATATAATATATATATATATGTATATAGATATATAGATATAGATATAGATATATAAATAGATATAGAATATATTATATATATATATGTATATAAATATTGATATACACACACCACTACCTGGGTTTGCAGTTTGTCTCCTCATGGGTTTCTCATCTTGTGAAAATTCGAAGCGGATTTCGTTCCAGGCCTTCTTTGCACATTGCCCACATGAGATGCCATGGAGGCGTCTGTGCCTTCGCGTTGAAATTGATGTATCCACCATGAAGTGAGCCATTTGGATATTTCTCCAACTTGGGGTACCCTGAATCATTACCCTCTGGTAAACAAACATAGCTATTGAAAATGGCCATAGAAATAGTTGATTTTCCCATCAAAAATTGTGATTTTCCATAGTTATGTTAGTTTTCCAGAGGGTACATCAAATATACTGGCAGAAAAAAAACTGCCTCAAACTAGATCATTTATGATTAAATGATGTTAGATACTATGCTGTGTAAAACAAAAATGCATTCTATTTTCGACTGTCTTAGTTCAAATTACATGATACTATGCTCAACACAATGTCAAATTCTAAATTGCATCATACAGTGTGTTGTATTACTATTTCACTAACTTGAACTGTGTTACTTTTGATTCTTTCTTTACTTTACTATCTAATAAGCAAATTGAAAAAATCTTGTATGATATCAAACTGGGCCGGATAGAACATCATACTATTTATTGGTTGCATTTCCGCAACCATGGTGAATGTTTCACCGGCCTATGCCATGGCGATCCATCAGCGCCAGCAGCTCACTCTCGCTGAGGTGCAACGGGGGCTCCGTATAGCGCTGCTTCAGCGAGACGTCCAAAACTCTCAGTGCGTCTCCTATCGGCGAAATGGCTAGGGAAGAAATGCTGCGAAAATCGGAGGTTTCATCAAGTCATGCGTATGGTTACAGGAAATAAATATATATATATATCATGTCTTTTAGATTAGCGACCCTTAAACACTTCAGCGCCATCTCAATGTGTATATATATATGGCAGTATACATGTGTACATGGAGGTATATTTAAGTTGTTAGGTAAAGGCACGTTTGCAAAGGAAGACAACATATTTGAAGGTGTTATCTTTTTCCTCCTTGCGAAGGAATACTGCATCTTTCGGAAGAGCCATCAAACGGTGGGGAATCAACAGACAAGGAAGTGAAGGTAAGAGAATCGATTATGACCTGGTAGGTCCTAGACATCTTACTCAACGAGTTAAAACCTGAATGTCCCTGTTGGTATGTTTGGGAAAATGTTGAAGAACAACGCGCGCTTTTTTGTTGCGTCTGTACAAACTCCCCAAGAAAGGGAAAAAAAAGTAACGAATCGTCCACGGGCAAAGTCAAACAACAAATGCAAATGGCAATAATTACACCACGCATCCTACGTATCTCTACGTTTCTCACGCATCAAATTTACAAGCTGTGCCAATCCATGGTGCCCATGGTTTTATAAGCATTTGATGGTGGTGTCAATCAGAGAGATTATGGTGATGCTGATGGTGATGGGGAACGATGAAGGACTGATGAATGTTGAATGATGACTATCAATGATCCAATATCAACATGCTTACGACTTTGAAGCGCACCCAGAGTACTTCATTGAAATCGATTTCAGCAGTGCTAGTCTCCAAGCCTCTCACACCTGCAAAGTCAACAACGTAGCAAAGGGTCTTTTTCACATCCAGAAAATGTTGCATATTTGTTGCAATAATTTTAATATTCACCACTTCCCGTGTTTGATCGCATGATGGACCAACAAACAATGACTGGCAGTGGGTAGTTGACATGTTTGTATCATAAGATGAATTTTGGTCAAGAAATACTGCATCTTTCAAACAAAAACTTTCTGGACGACATAGTGCGGCTTCAGAAAGTGTCTGTTTCAAAAGTGCCTTTTGAGAAACCCCCATCGTATAGAGGGAAAAACGATGTTGGCTTATTCAAAGGGAGATGTTTTTTTTAAAGGAGAGGGAGCCATGAGTCATGTGTAAAATCATGCCAAAATTCACTCAGACAGGGGGATAAACCAAATACATATATACATATATATATATATATTGTACATATACACACATACGGACACATAATACCAAACCTCGGGATTGGTTCAAAAAGTTATCAATCTTCCATGAATCCTCTGTACCCTCTGGTAAACATACAACAAACTATGGAAAGATCCACCATTTTTAATGGGGAAATCAACTATTTCTATGGCCATTTTCAATGTCGCAAACTGTTAGTCATTACCAGAGGGTCAATCACATAAACATAACTGGTTGGTGGTTTACCTACCCCTCTGAAAATATGAGTTCGTCAATGGGAAAGATGACATCCCATATATTATGGAAAATAAAAGCCATGTTCCAAACCAGATATTATGATTGTTTATAAACCACCAACCAGATAATATGATGTTCATATCTGGTTGGTGGTTGTTTTATATATGGAAAATAAACAGCCAGATAAACCACCAACCAGATATATAATGTATATATATATGATATATCCCAATTAGATTCCCAATTAGATTCCAAGGGATTGTTATGTATGTATATTATATATATATATATATATATTATATATATATATGATATATTATGTATATATATATATTCTATATAGTATATATACATATCATATATCATATATCATTATAAGCATCAACAACGGATTCCACCCCGCGCCACTTCACGACCCCTTGTTGAAGCTGTCCTTGGTTGAAGCCACCGCTGAGATCAACCGCACCAGTGTCCTGGCGGCGATTTCTATGGCATTTCTATGAGAATTATATGGGTTATATATGGATATTATGTGTATATATATAATTATACATATATGGATTTAAATCGTAATATCATTGTTATAATCGGGATTTATTACTGTAATACAATCTAAAAAACATATTTATACAGGATCTAAAAATGAATTAGTGGGAAACATATGGAGAATACGAGGTATTCATGGCGACTTTTACGCAACCATACTTGAGAAGCTCATTTCGATGGTGTTTATAGAGTGAAACCTAGTTACTGACTGTTGTGAAAGGTTGGCAAAACACAACTTGAGATTAAAAGTAAGATATTTTCTGGTGAATACGTATATTTAAGTAAGAGCTTGATATGGGTATATCTGGAAATGGTAGATTGACATGGATTGACCCCCTACATTGTGACCATTAATTAAGAAAGAATAGTGAATGTGATGAATAACTAATGGATTTGGTGCATTTTTTTGGACAAACCCACAGTGACTGGCTGACTGGGCCGATTCGAAAGCCCCAGCATCATGGATGAGTCGATTTGACAAAATCTGGTGATTCCTCTCTTGTGAATCTAAAAGGCACAAATCAATCATAATCCATCATCAATGGTCTGAGAATTAGAGTTACTTTCTTAACTTATCTTAGTCTTAGCCATCTTTAGCTCATGTTTTGGTTCAAATCTACAGTTTGGTCAATGGGATTTTCAGGCTCCGATTTATTGGAGGTACCTACCATATATAAGGCCTATTTTTTAGGCCTTAGTTTAAGGGAACATCCCCATAAAATATGGCCAAATCAGTTTGAGTGGCGCACCTGCAACTGCACCCGGGCTACTCGTGCCCAGCCGAAGGAAGTGATGCGACCACTGCTGGCCGTGAAACCAACATCTCCCAGCTGCAGCTGCAGCTCTGCCTGCGAAATCCCCACGGCGAGCCGACGAGAAGTATGGTACGGGGATCGAATGGGAATATAACATGATCATAATGATAGATATTAATAACTATATTTATAGTGAGATATAATACATATTAATAATAATAATAAATAATAATAATAACAATAATAATAATAGTAATAATATTAATAGTAATAATAATAATAATAATAATAATATATCAATAATAATAATAATAATAATAGTAATATATATATAATATAATATGATATGATATAATATAATATAATATAATATAATATAATAATATAATAATAATATAATAATATAATATAATATAATATAATAATAATAATAATAATGATAATATATATATAATATTTTATATATAAGATAATATATATATAATAATAAATAATATATATTATATAGAATATATATATATATACACAACAGTCATGAGCTGGGTTTGTCTAAGAATGAGCCGTTTTTTGTACGTATTTTCCAATGGACAGCCACAGCTGGGGCAACCGCCTCTCGCACCGTGGCATCGGGAGAGACGGTGGCCAAGAAGTGGCGACAAACCTCTTCGTAGAGAGCCTCGCTCGCTGTGCTCCAACGGTGAAGCACCAACGAGTTTCGTCAACAAATCATCGTCTCATGTGGTAAAACCTGGGTAATACCTGGGTAATACCTGGGTTTCTATTACTATGGTTTCCCCCAAGAAAAATACCCAATTGAGTGACTAGAAATGCTGAATCAAGCTTCCTCAGTTACTGAGCAGACCGACTTGTGTCCAAGATGTGAGCTGCACCGACTCTGACAACTTCCAACAGCTGTCATAAATAGAACATTGGAAGATGGGTATAGATTACCAATGTTCAGCCAATGTTCGGCCATTGTCATCTAGTAATTACTATGGTAAACCTCTGGTTATGGCTAACATAGCCATGGTTAAGCCATGGCCCATAGAAATAGATGATTTTCCCAGCGAACGAAACCTCTATTTATTTTGGGGATTTTCCATGGCTATGTTAAGTAACCAGAGGGTAATTACTATCTGCAAGCAGATCATTTCGGCCATTCGCCGTGCTGAGAGGCCCTACCCAGCCCGCTTCAGAGCCACACTGACTGGACGTCGCAGACTTCACCTGGCAGATTTCGACTCATTCACTGCACACCTGGCACAAAGCTGAGAATCGAAATCTTTTTTTTGGCGTCAGAAAAGAATTGGTTGAGGATATTTGGATGTGGGTCAAAATGGAAGACCTAGGGGACCACAGATGTTAGTCTAGTTTAGTATTAACCATCCATAATTTTGGGGTACCTAATTTTGACCCATCCCCATTTGGGTACCCATTTGGAATGGAAAGGATCGGTGCAAATCAAAATCATCAAGGTTCCACCGTGCAAAATCTGTCAACCGCAGCACATGCCGGTGAATCAGGCGTAATGGGAGGATGATCACCTACGTCGTGACCGTCCTGGAAATGTTGAAGTCACTGCCACTCTCGCGATTTGATGCTGTCAACCTCTGTTTTTTTTCTGTATTCAAATTAATCATCATATATTTTCCTGAGAGTTGAAGTATGCATATAAGGTGCACAACGGTTTGGTTCTACATATTGAATCACGTTTGACCAGTTGGCTCATGCTGAAACTCATCCAATCCTCACGCGGTGCAGTCAGCCCCGATGTTGCAAGTTGCTGCGCAAACTGCCGTGGCTCGGGGCAACGGTATGCAACAGGTGGAAAAACCGTTTTTTTGGGGTGAGAAACGTGGTGAAAAAATGTCAAAAAGATTCAACGCAAAACATTGCTCTTCACTGTGCCCCTTGGGATATTTTTAGATCAACCAACAACGGTCTGGGAATCCGCCTGTGCCCATGGCAAGCTTGGGCTCGCCATGCAGCGGACGGTCTCTTCCAGGTCAAAATTTTCAGGATATCTGTCCTCGGCAGAAACCATGGCAGGTGGACATTGATTAACTATGGCATACTATGGCTATGGACTCAAAGAAGGGGAACCATAGATTTTACTCATGTTAGTCATTTTTCAATTTACTCAATTTTCAGTACCCAATTTCAACCCATACCCATATCCAGTGGGTGCCTCCTGAGGCCCCAAGCCGTCTCAGTGCGAGGATACGACAGAATTCCTGTAGTAGATGTTCGGTGGAAATGAAGGCGAGTTTTAATGGATGTTATGGGGGATATCGGGATATCATGGATTTATACACATACATATGCATGTCTATATATATATGTATGTATGTATATATATATGTGATGCATATGTTTTTTATATATGTGTATGTATGTGCATATATATGTGCATATATATATATATAATCATATATATATATATACAAATAAAACCAACACATGGCATGGGTTTGTCCGAGAAGGGGATAGGTACCGTATATCCAATTGGATGTGGGTCAAAATGGAAGACCTAGGGGACCACAGATGTTAGTCTAGTTTAGTATTCACCATCCAATTATTGGGGTACCTAATTTTGACCCATACCCAATTGGTGTTGGCTCAAAGATGGCCGGAAAGGTTGGTGTCATTGCGGGTAACATGTTTGACCACATTCTCCACAAGCCCAGGATGTCCGTCAAAAAAAATCACCAAGATATGGAGTGTGATTTACCCTCTGGTAAACGTTTACATAACTATGGAAAATCACCAGAAAATCACCATTTTGTAGCTGGGAAAACTCACTATTTCTATTGCCATTTTCAATAGCTATCTATGTAATCGTTTACCAGAGGGTATCTCATATTAAATCCCATTAAACCACCATAAAACCCCATTAAATCCAATTAAATATAGATATGTCATTATGTCATTTGTAGATCCTGAAGTCATCAGCCACCATTTTCGGGTCTCTCTCCAAGGGGCCTTTCAGGTAGAGGCTTTCGGCCACATGCAACGCATCGTCAGGACCAAGGCCTGCAGCCCATGGCCCGAATGGATTGGTTGATATCCCATTGATGCCATTGATATCCTATTGGTGTTGAATACCGATATTGATTGATATCCCATACCAATATCCTATTGATATCCTATTGGATATTGGATATTTGACCATTTTTTTATATTCCGTTGATATTCCATATTGGATTGGGGATACAATAATATCAATGGTATTCACGAGATATACCCAAAAAAAACTTTATGAACATGGGCTTTACCTAGAAATGGGATGTTGGTTATGACCCCCATGGTTGCGATGGTGGCTATTGGGTGACCACATTATCACATTGGGATGTAATGGCGTAGAATGAACATCTTAGAGAACAAAATATCCGATATCCCACAACATTCCCAAGATCCCCAAACAAATTCGTTGGCTTGGGAAAATCTTAAGCAGAAACCCAGGGGTTTACGCCGTCGAAGAGCGCCTAGCACCTGAGATGCCATTTTCAGCATCTCCACCTGGCCGTTTCTTTTTACACGAATAACCGATAAATGTATGTATGTATGTATGTACGTACGTACGTACGTATGTACGTATGTACGTATGTACGTATGTACGTATGTACGTATGTACGTATGTACGTATGTACGTATGTACGTATGTACGTATGTACGTATGTACGTATGGTATGGTATGGTCTGGTATTGTCTGGTCTGGTCTGGTCTGGTCTTGTCTGGTCTGGTCTGGTCTTGTCTGGTCTGGTCTGGTCTGGTATGGTCTGGTATGGTATGGTCTGGTCTTGTCTGGTCTGGTATGGTCTGGTCTTGTCTGGTCTGGTATGGTCTGGTCTTGTCTGGTCTGGTATGGTCTGGTCTTGTCTGGTATGATATGGTCTGGTATGGTCTGGTCTGGTCTTGTCTGGTCTGGTATGGTCTGGTCTTGTCTGGTATGGTCTGGTCTTGCCTGGTCTGGTATGGTCTGGTATGGTCTGGTCTTGTCTGGTCTGGTATGGTCTGGTCTGGTATGGTCTGGTCTTGTCTGGTCTGGTATGGTCTGGTATGGTCTGGTCTGGTCTGGTATGGTATGTATGAGTGTATATATATGACATATGACATATGACATATACGTATGTATAATGTACTATGTCTATGTATGCAT